TGCTTTGATTGGTTTGTAGTGGTGCGTGGGTGGATCAAATGAAATTTCAAAAGTCACGCAGGTGGCCAGCACAAGACGATCAGATCTCATTTATCACTATTATTATTGTTACATGTATAGTGTATGTAGCTGTGGCTGTGATTTGCCTCTATCAAAGCTTGTGGTTAACAGGAAAGCCCATACATATTATACTGTGCAGTACTATATATTCCAGGGGCGTATCTAGGAATTTGGAAAGGGGGGTGCTGGGGTACAGAAGGCAGTGGAGGGGGGAAATTAAGAGGTGCGCGAAGCGCGCTGCGATTTTGACCACGCCCACTTTTAAGGGGTTAAAACGGTGTTTTTCTTCATTTTTCGTCAATTACGGGTGGGGTCAAGATCATTTCTATGACTGGTTCGCATACTGGTACTTTTGATGACTCTTTGAAGGACTGGAAACTGCTGAAATCATAATCAGGGTTCTAGATAACTTTAATAAGAGGCTTGGTAGTGATGCAAGAGTCCAGAACTTCCTAGTAATTTTTTCTGAGCCCAGCCATAAGGGGGTGCTCAAGCACCCTCCCTGGATACGCCCCTGTATTCCACACAGTGCTACATTTTCCTACCATGCGTGTCATTGGAAGTTATAGCACTTGGCGGCATCTTTGATCCGCCCACACACCAGGGGCGTATCCAGAAATGGGGAAAGGGGGGTTGAGGGCACGCAAAGCACACCGCAATTTTGGCCACACCCCTTTTTGCGGCGGTAAAACAGCGTTTTCCTTCATTTTTGTGAATTACGGGTGGGGTCAAAATTATTTCAAGCATCTAGTACTTCTGACAACTTCTGATTGCTCCTTAAAGCACTGGAAACTGCTGAAATAATGATCAGGGGGCTATATAACTTTGTTAAGAGGCTTGGTAGTGATGCAAAAGTACAGGATTTGATCAATTTTTTTCTGAGCCCAGCCATGAGGGGGGTGCTCAAGCCCCCCTCAGCCCCTGCTGGATACGCCCCTGCACACCATACTACAAGCAATATGTACAAATCGTGTTATATTCAATACATTTGTATTTACATGTACTCACTGAGTTCAATAACTGCTGGATCACTTATTGGTGTCAAAAGGATTCTCTTTCCTCCAAACACAATTATCCAGTTAGTGGTTGGAGTCACACTCCAAACTGAGAGAGAATGATACCATCTTTTAGTGACACTGTTTTGTACATTATCCTATAACGGAAGAAACATAATTAATTTATAGACTAAAATATTAACAATAATTAATTTCATTATTATTCATGCATTTTTTTGTACCGGTATATTGTTTACTTTTTTATAGAAAATGATTCTATAACGATAAGTTTTTATGTGCAAAATCCTTTTTTCCAGTAAAATTTTAAATTCATAAAAATTTTAAATCAATTAAAAAATTTTTTTCAA